AAGAATGGTACTTGGTCTCTTGTGAAGCCGCCATCAGGAAAAAAAATTGTTGGTTGCAAATGGATCTTTAAGAAAAAGGATGGCATTCCAGGGGTTGAAGATGCGAGGTAAAAAGCACGATTAGTTGCAAAGGGATATAGTCAGGTACAAGGAGTTGATTTTAATGATATTTTCTCACCTGTTGTTAAACATAGCTCTATTCGTGTCTTGCTTGCCTTCGTTGCCATGTATGATTTGGAATTAGAACAACTTGATGTTAAGACAACTTTCTTACATGGAGAACTTGAGGAACAAATATACATGCATCAACCCGAAGGATTTGAAATTGAAGGAAAAGAAGATCATGTTTGCTTGTTGAAGAAATCCTTGTACAGATTAAAGCAATCTCCAAGACAATGGTATAAAAGGTTGATTCCTTTATGTTGGGTCATGATTATTCTAGGAGCATGTATGATAGTTGTGTTTACTTCCGAAAGTTAAATGATGGTTCATTTGTGTACCTATTATTATATGTTGATGACATACTCATTGCTGCTAAGGATTTAACAGAAATTCACAACTTGAAAAGTCAGCTGAAAAGTGAATTTGAGATGAAAGATTTGGGAGCAGCTAAGAAAATTCTTGGCATGGAGATCAAAAGAGATCGAAAAGCCAACAAGCTATTCCTGACCAAGAAGAAGTACTTGGAGAAAGTCTTGGAGAGGTTTGGCATGAAAGATGCTAAACCAGTTAGTACCCCTCTTGCTGCTCATTTTAAGTTATCAGCTGCTCAGTCCCCGCAGTTAGAGAAAGAAGAGAGGTACATGGAACAGGTTCCTTATTCCAGTGCAGTCGGCAGTATTATGTATACAATGGTTTGTACACGTCCAGACATTTCACAAGCAGTGAGCATGGTAAGTCGGTATATGGCTTGCCCTGGTAAAGCACATTGGCAGGTTGTGAAATGGATTCTCAGATACTTGCGAGGTACTTCAAACATACGTTTGGAGTTTGGGATAAATACTAACACTTTGGTTGGTTTTGTAAACTCAGATTATGCAGGTGATCTTGACAAAAGAAGATCACTGACGGGCTATGTATTTTGCATTGGTGGTTGCGTTATTAGTTGGAAAGCTACATTACAACATGTAGTAGCTTTATCTACTACCGAAGCAGAATATATAGCAGTGACTGAGGCAATCAAAGAAGACTTATGGTTGAAGGGTCTATTTGCGGAACTCAGTTCATACCAAAGTGGTCTTACCATTTTCTATGATAGTCAAAGTGCAATTCACTTGACTAAAGATCAGATGTATCATGAGAGGACGAAGCACATTGATATAAAGTATCATTTCATCCGAGAAACCATTGATGAAGGAAAAGTCTCTGTTCAGAAAATCAATACTAGGGAGAATCCTGCTGACATGTTCACAAAACCTCTTCCAGTGTCCAAGTTCAAGCTTTGCCTGAACTTGATTGGCATTTATGAAGAATGATTTTGCCAATTGGGATTTTTGCGGAGAAGATGGAGCAAATTTTCTATATGAGCCGAAATTAGGACAAGGTGAAAATTTATAATATGGCCATTAATTTGGCTTCTTCTCGAGTGGGGGCCAAATTTCATGGTATTTGCCATGACATAATATCCACTATAACAAATTTGTGGATCATGACATTTGCAATGACATAATATTCACTATTAGGCCAAGGATTTCTTGTTATAAATAGAGGAGCTTCTCCTCATTTGTAAACACACCAATTCAAGAGCTTTTCACTCTTGTCTTTCTTTCTCCTCCTTTATTTCATTATAGAGTATTTTGTAAGAGAGTGAGTGTTGGGAAATACTTGTGTGAACCCTTTTCTTTGGAGTGATCTTGTGATGTTATTCTCTTGGGGTATTTGGGACTAATTAGAGTATTAATTCTAATTTTGTACTCTTTTTTGTACTCTTGTTGGTATAGTAAAATTGATCATCTCCGCTTGTGGACGTAGGTCACCTTGACCGAACCACGTTAAATTTTTGTCTTCTTTATCTTCTTTAATTGGCGTTATTATCAACTTGCATTGTCTTTGTTATTATCATTATAACGTTGTTTGGCTAAATTGCGCACTACCTGATTTTCCGATCCTAACATCAAGTGTAGAAACAGTACACAAAATACCTACAACTTATATAATTGTATACAAGTTGTATATAAATTATATGTAAATTATAGTTTTTGACCGGATTCGGCGAAAAAAAAATATATATTTAAGTTGTAGATAAATTGTAGATTTTGATCGAATTTTTATATATTTTATAAAACCCTTTAATTACTTTCTGTAAATATGAAAACTTAGACAAAACTGGGTAAATAAGTTTAAAATATATGTTACTTTTCGTGATGTTCAATTTGACCCGGGTATTGACTCGGGCTTGGGGATTTTTCTCACGATAGTTGCTCATCTTTTGCAGGGCTTCTGGTTTAAGGAACGAAACTGAGGTCATGTCACTTTCTTCCGTTCAGCCCATCCGTACACGGCGTTTTGTGACTTTTGTCCCTTCAATTTCTATTCTTTGTGTGGCTCGTTTGTCCTTTTGATTGTAATATACATTTCTTAATACTTGAGTGTCATTTCAGCCATGTTTGCATTTCTTTTACTAGTCAACTGATTCATGATGCAGCAAGGTGAATATACCGCTTGCACCATCACATTTTACATGATGGTTTTTGACTGGATATTGAGTTTGAAAATGTTTGTTTGATTCAAGTATAGAAAAGTTGTGAAAATTATGTACACTGATATAATTTGTGGAATAGTGTCTAAGATTTAGTGGTGCTTCAAACTAGAACGAGTGTCATATAAATCTTGACGGTTTCTTTTCTTCCTCAACTTGAAAATTTCAATTGGAAACCTCTATTTTGCACCCAAAAGAAAAAAAGGCTTTTGTGATTCTTTAGGATAATATGGTCATAGGAGACAAGAGAGTATAGGTTTAAAATAAAACAAAAAAAGTAGGGGAAAAAAGGAACAGACGGATAATATCACTAGAGTATCAAGTTTGTATTGTAAAGAAAATAAAGGAAAAGAAATGAAAATAGTAACTATGTAACAAGTTTACCTTGTTGATTTTTTTCGTTATCAAAGTTGCACGTTGATGTGATATATCACCAGAGTACATCGGTTAATGATATATCACCAGTTGCACATCGGTTAATGATGCCTTTGTTCTCCTTCTTTTGCTTCACATTTTATATAGAATGTCAGACCATAAATGTTAACTATTTTTTCAGAGAAAATGTGTTCTTTAGGGAATTCCAAAATTTTCCCATCATTTAATTTAAGTCTTAACATTTCATATTTCATAGGCATGTAGAGGAACGGGATTGGGGGAGGGGGTCAAATAAGAGAAAAACAGAGGCAAAGGTTGAGAGATGAAAAAGGTGGAGAGTGCACGTAGATTGGCCACTGTGGTTGTTCAACAGTTGGCACAGGTGGGATCATTTATTTTGTACATTAATTATTGATATGTCATGTTGCTATCTTGATGGAAATTCCAATCCTGTGCTGTTTCAGACTCATGGTTGGTCCTGTAGTTATCCCTCTTTGATGTGGATGTTGATGCGCATAATCTTAAATTGGCTTGCCAAAGGGAAATAACTGGTAGTTTTGATATAGATTGGTGCCCTGAGCGCTGTTGGGAGAAATGTTGGTCCTTTACTTGCTCAAGCCAATGCTAATGGTTATGCCAGAGTTGTCAAATTTAGTTCTTCTTTGGATTGATCAGAAATTCATGGTATGCTTGTGTTTCCTTTCACCTGATAAAGAAGCTAGATGACCCTGGTTCAGGGAATACAGCCAAATGCGATTTTATTGCTTACTTAGGACTAAATATTTATTTGTAGAAACACTTAAATACATTATTGAAATACCGATATATGATGGTAGGTCCAAAACAACTATAGTTCCCAAGAGATTCCACTCGATTGTGCTATGAGCAGTGTTGTCAAAGGCGCACTTAAGTCCTAAAGCGAGGCTCAAAACATGTTGAGCACTTCGTCCCGCTTTGCGGACGCTTTAGTGTTGCATCAAGGCTCTAAGGCATACTTTTCCTTGCCAATGAGTGTAATCCTGAAAAGACTATACTGAACAATTGATATTTAACTTTATCGTAATCTTTTTTTCAATTTTTTTGTCCATATATTTGTTATTCATGCTTATAATTATTGGTCTTAGACTACATATACCTATTTTTATTGTTTCTCCGGTTGCGTCTTTTTTCATTAAAGCCTACGTTTTATTTGCGCTTTGCGCTTAAAGCCCCAACGGGCCTTAGAGCTTTTTTGCGCTTTTCACCCTTGATAACACTGGCTATGAGTACTCTTGATTTCATTTATTAATTCTGGCCAAATCAAGAGGTTATGAAACACAATAGTGAAAGAAACAAGTTTTTCCGTACATGTACTGTTTTAATTTAAGAACTTAGAAGAGGTCTGGAATTCATAAAGATTTGTGGCAAATACTCTGTTAGAGTGTAGTAGAAGTTTATTAAGCAATGTGTAAACTGTAGAAAGTACTCATTGTCACTTATAGCTGTCTGTTCTAGTGTTCTTTCAATAAAAACAAGGGTGCAACGTTTAACAATGGTAGTTATAAAAGTGTGACTGAATAGGTATTATGATTTCTTTTTCTTGGCTGAGATTTGGCAAGTGCTAAGAACTCAAGTAGTTTCTTTGAGTAATTAATCACTGCTATAAGAGATCTTGGCTTTTCTGGCGAGGGGGTAGTTGGGGGCAGAGCAGGATATAGAATCATGCATATGTGGAATTAACTTATCAGGTTCACTGCATATCTTTAAGAATTAGAAAGTTTATATCCTCCGTTCCAGGTATGTACTTTATGTTAACAATACCACTCACTTATTTTGTTTTAACCTGTGTTTCCAATTCCAGTCACTTTGTTAATAACTCAGGATATCTCCTCATGTTTCAAAAAGTTTACCTTTTATTGAGGAAATAACTGAAGTACTTCCATGACAAGGTCTTCTGTTTCTTGTAGGGATCGATTTGCTAGAGATATGTCATAAATACGTGTAGTAACATCAATCCTTGAATCTCAACTAAGTATTTCCTAAGACTGAAAAGCACATGATTATGAGCTTTGGCTGCCTCTTTTGATATCCACCAGCCACAGCTGCTTTGTGCACTGTCAGGAACTCAGGATGACTGCAAATTCAGTTGCTGGGATTTGTGAGATGATCCTTGTAAGTTAGCTTACCACAATACGGAAGTTCATGCAATAGGCATCCGTTACATTGCAAAGAGTCCAAGTTATATCTTGCTGACCAGTAGCTATTATGAACATCTAAGGGTTTGGGACGTGAGATCCATTGCAAAACCTGTACATAAGAGATTAGCCCCATTAGGAGTTCAGAGAATAAGATATCATCCATTGTACTCGACCTAGTAGTCTTGACGGCTTGTATGCACAAAGATCTGCAGTTGTCTAAGTTAAAGATGATAAAGTTGAAATCTAGGAAACCTGTGACAAACACGGTGTCTGGCATGTTGACCAGATTGACAAAGAGGCTCTTTAGGTATGGAAGGAAAGAGGGAAGAATATGTTATTAACGCTTCCTTTGCATGTGGATGCCAGAAGGCGACATTCTTTAACGACCTCTTGGTCTAGGCTATATGCTTCTTTGCCTTAACAACAAGTTGTGAAATAATACTTTTTTGGGGGGGATGGGGGTGTTTGAGTTTCTGTCCACTGTTTTATGCATGTTGATCTCATCTTCATGATATTCCCACCTTGTATCTCTGCTAGAGAGAATTTCTGGTTATTTTGAATGGCTCATTCGTAACAGACAATTAGTGTGTACTTTTGTGAGTGACTACACATAAACTTGTATCCATTAAAGCTGCAGTAGTAAATAGCAAGACAAGTACAAGTACAGCAATAGAATTGGCTCTATTCAGTTCGTATCATTTGTACGTTCTAGTATAATTTACCTACTCTAAATTGATGCAAAAGTCGCGAGGCAAATGTCAAAGGAATGAGAAAGAATCGATAGTATTTTGAAATTGTAGTCCTATTTTGGCCTGTTTACAGGCATGGCCAAGTATATGCTACAAAGCTCCCCTCAGAATTCAGGTTTGTCTTTATTCTACTTTTTCTTATAACTTTTGTACAAAGATACAAAATCAGAAAGAGACTGATGCTGTTCATCGATTGGCAGTATACGCAATTATTCCTATATGAACGGGCACACACCCAATCACGTGTGGTGAGAATGCCCCTTCAAAGCTTGGCCTCAAAAACATTATCTCTTAACTCACATTCTTCATAAATCATACTCCTATAAATTTGATAATTCCTGATATTTTATACGCGAAATGTAGGATTTTTATGTTTCTTTCCATGGTCGTAATTTAGACATAAAAATAGTTAAAATCAACAGTTAATTTTCGTAAATCTCATCTTCAGAATCAGACTTATAGTACTTGTTACCCAGTAAACATTGCTTAGGAGACCTTGAAGGAGAGACTAATTTTACGACTTCATATCAAATCAAAAATGGACATAACGACGCGGTTCCATTAGATTATAGTAGGGTATGTCGAAGAAAGTACTGAAAAAGAAGCCTTCGAAATACAGCTAGATTGGAATTCCTGAGAATATCTGGCACACTGATATAGTGACCTTTTGATTAGGAAAAGAAGGTACTCTTTTCCATTGAAGTGTATATTAATATGAGGTGGTTTTCGATGTGAGCTATATATGGGCCATAGTAAGGCAGCTGGCTGGCTTGGTGAATTTTACTCTGCTCGATTGTTCTCTGAAAAAAATTATCCTCCAACTTAAGAAAGGATATATCACAACTGTCCGGTTAAATTGGTATAACTTGTGTCCTTGTGATTAGAAGCTGTCTATACTCTTTGATATAGCATTAGACAATTTTCCAACATTTCAGCTCTTTAAAACAAGTTACTTACTTAAACTGGAGGAGGACCATCAAAACAAGATCGTGTAGTATAGGAAAGGAGAGAAAATGAGAATGAGAATGAGAATGAGAAGGGGGTTTTGGTTTTTTCAGGAGAGGGAATGTATCAAATTTGGAGAATACCATTATACCAAAGGGTAAAAACAAACAAGAAAGGAGAGGAAAAAAAACATTAAACCAGACAAATTGCTAGCTGAGTATATTAGAACCATCCACATTCGCAAATGTAGCATCACAATCATTTGAATTTTGTTTGTCGGAACTCGTCTAATAATCTTAAGTCGAAAGCTCAGTAGTAACGTGGTGTGCCCTGCTATAACGGAATTAGGTTCTCAATCATTTAAAATTGTTCAAAGAAAATTATCTCTTGCTTGAAATGAGTGATATCAAAACTAAGATTAAGGAAGTAAGAAATTTGTCTCGTGATGAATACAACGGAGAGGCAAGTTCCAATAAAAGAAAATATAGTATAAAGTAACTCAGAAATCAGACACGAGATGGCCAAAAAATGATGTGTACGAAATGGCTCAAATATATCTGTTATAATGTGAATAGAAAAAAATGACTTCACAAATATCAATTGCATTTTATATTATTGTTATCAACATATAAAGATTTCTTGTGAAATCGGCCACATAAAAGAATTTAGAATATTTTGTAATAGACCACATAACAATTACAGTCGGAAATAATATCTTTTCATTTTTTTTCCATTGATTATACTTGTAACTAGAATCTGAAACCTAAGTGTGGTCTTTTGGGACTCGAGACACAAATAGGTTAAAAGAAAAACTGGGCACCATTTTATATATAGCGCGGTTATTCACCGCGCTATACTTTAACGGCAGTTTTGTCCGTTAAGATATAGCGCGGTTATTCACCGTGCTATATTTGAACCACTAGTATTAGTGTACGTGCGTTGCACGTGTGTATAGTATTAATTAATATAAAGTATATACAAAAAGAATAAATTATCGAATATATACCTCATACTGTTGAGTACATCGGTTTTAATAAATTACATAAAATGTTATTAATATATATATATATATATATATATATATATAAGTTATAAAATAAATATCAAAATAAAAAAATTGTAGGTTCCTGAAAAATGTTGAATTGATCCGATTTAGCTAACTTAATAAATGAATAAGTCTTGCTCTAATCCCTCATACTTCAAATACTATTTCAGATCAAATAGATATCAGTACCGCTCAGTCAATTACAAAAAATATTAAGAAAAGAGGAAAAAACTTAAAAACCAGGAAGAAAAATAAAAACTTGACTACTCATGTAGGTTTAACCAAAAAACTTTGTGCAACACACAACAAAAAGACATACATTAGCAAATACTATTTCAAATCAAATAGATATCAGTACCGCTCATTCAGTTACAAAAAAAACATTAAGAAAAGAGGAAAAAACTTAAAAATCAAGTATAAAGAAAAATAAAAACTTGACTAGTCATGTAGGTTTAACCCAAAAAGTTTGTGCAACACACAACAGAAAGACATACATTACACATATTTTAATTAAGCTTCAATGAAAAAAGGGTAAACAACTATTAACTGAAGATAATTTTAAACTGATATTGGTACATGAGATATCATAAATAAAAATCAAAACTGACAAGCACAAAAAATTACCTCCACACACGTCCACATTATTAAGACTTTATGATAAAAAAACATGAAATACTGACTCCTTTTATAGAAGAGTTTAGCTCCTTATTCTAAACAAAGTTTAATGGTCAATATATTAATTAATTTCCAAATTTAAAATATTAGAAAAATTAATTACAATTACATTAGTATTACATTAACGCCTTGTTATTTTTAAATTTAATACATATAATATATACATATAAATTTATTCGGTTCGGTTCGGTTCGGTTCGGTTAAGTACTTTTTGATATTATTTAAAAATAAAAAATTATCCTAATTATTCGGTATGGTGTAGATTTATATCAAACCTATAATTTTATTAAGAAAAACCTAGTAATCGGTTTGAAAGGTTCGTTTTAGAGAACCATTGACATCCTTACATAAATCTAATAGAAACGTTTTGTTTATTTTTCGTAAAAACCAACCCGTGGTTTCTTACTTCTAAATAGTATTTTTGTTTTAGACAAAACAGGAAAAGAAAGAAAACACACGGCTTCCTTAGAACTTTGCGAAAATCGCTCTTCTCTTGGCCTTGAAATTTTAGAATCTTTTTAACGTTTCTTACCATCATATCCTCCTTTATAATAATAAAATAATAAAAAATTAATTAATTTAATAGACCTAAATATTAGGAATAATAATAGAGAAGGAATTATAGTTGTGTTACTTAATTCGAGCAAGGAATTTTTTTTATATAAGGTAATACAATTGAATTGCTTATAAAGTCCTAAATATTATAATTTTTATATATTTTAAATAAGGAAAGATTTATTAAGTAGAATTTTAATTAATTTTAGAATTCTAAAAGTTAGAAAAAATAAATAAATGACTATTTTGTCTTATGTGAAATCTATGTTTCAAGGATAAAAAAAGCGAACGACATTTCGCTAATGGCATTCGTGCTTTTAATATAGTATAGATAAAGATATAGCGTGCATATATAAGGCGCTATAGTATAGCGCCTTATATATGCACGCTATACCTATATAAAAAATTGTGCCTTTTCCTTCCCCAACCAGACGCGAACCAGCCCCCCCTCCCCTTCCCTCATTTTTAACGCAGAAAACTCCATTGGAGCCCGTCGGTCCCACAAAAAGTGTAGATTCTCGGTATTGTAGCAAGCTAACATCGGATCTAAGGCGTTATCGCGTAGTGGATTGCTCGTTTCGGCCCCCAAATCATCAAATCTTCACCTTTCAAAAAATTTAAAATCGAGGTATTCCGACTTATTTTTTGTAAAAAATCATGTATTAAAAATGCTTATTAGTTATTTTTTACTGTGATATATGTTCTTTCGTGATTGTTTTGCGATTTACCTAATTTGTTATTTTTTATCGGATTAGATTATTATTGTGCTAAAAAATTTATTAAAATAGAGAAATTGTTATTTTATGAATAATTAATGTTATTAGTTGTTATAAAAAATATTTATTAGTTATTTTTTACTGTGGTATATGTATTGTCGTGATTGTTTTGTGATTAAATTAATTTGTTATTTTTTATCGGATTAGATTATTATTGTGCTAAAAAATTTATTAAAATAGAGAAATTGTTATTTTATGAATAATTAATGTTATTTAATTCCCTTTAGTGTTATGATGTGCCCGTAATTTTAATATATTGCTCGTAATTATAATGTAGTGCCCTTTAGCGTAGTACAATATAGTGCCCTTTAGCAGAGTATCTTTGTAGTTATTAAAATTAATCATTTAATTATCTGTCAACCCCAAAAATATCTTAAAAAAGATGATAGTTCAAACACAAAGTCTCTCGAATACTAGTCAACAAATGTAAGAAAATAACATAAAAAACAACAATATTTGTCAAACTAATTATTTGTATATGAATACTTATTAATTAAATCATATATTCATATAAAAATTAATTATTTAATTCTATTATACCCAAAAATAGGTGAATAAGAAAAAACATATAAAATAATAAACTAACATATAAAATAAT